CGTGCATAAATTTTTGTGTATTTAATTGCATTAAATGTATTTAAAATTGTTCCAGTTTAGATCATTACGCAATAAGGCATGAGAGCCCAGGGATTATTGTGCGATAACTCCTGACTAAGGGCTGTTCTTAGGCCGAGGCGAAGCTAAGGTTAACAACATATTTCAAAAAAGATTAACGACATGCTTTCATTAAAAACGTTATTTTAATTAGTGAATTAGTTTTATTTCATCCTACCACCAGACGATATAGTCTGGGCAAAAGCCAGTTGTTTCTGAGGTTCTGAAGTTGCTAACCAAACAGGCTGGTCGTTTATTCTATTCTCATATTTTGACCCAGTCGTTCATTTCCATTAATTCCACATTGCTATGCTAATCAAATCATTGGCATTTACTGTAGCTAGCTAGCAGCGGTTCAATGATGACGAGAGACAAGAACTTCAATAAATAATGATTTAATAAATCATCTTTAAATAGGCAACACGAACTTCAGCTAACAATACATTTATAAATAATTTATAAATAAGCAACAACCAGCTGATTGTCGAGTCAATAAGATAGTTGTGCGCTGGGTACACACACATCCACCCAGCACTCACCACATCCACCCAGCACTCACCACATCCACCCACACACACCACATCCACCCAGCACACACCACATCCACCCAGCACACACCACATCCACCCTGCACACAACCACATCCACCACAGCACCTCACCACATCCACCCAGCACACACACCACATCCACCCAGCACTCACCACATCCACCCAGCACCACACCACATCCACCCAGACACACACCACATCCACCCAGCACACACACCACATCCACCCGCAACACACCACATCCACCCTGCACACACCACATCCACCCAGCCACCACCACATCCACCCAGCACCACACACACCAACCACCATCCCTGCACACACCACATCCACCCTGCACAACCACATCCCCAGCATCACACAACCACCGCACACACCACATCCACCCTGCACACACCACATCCACCCAGCACACACACACATCCACCCAGCACACACACCACATCCACCCAGCACACACACCACATCCACCCAGCACACAAACCACATCCAACCCAGCACTCACCACATCCACCCAGCACGCACAACCACATCCACCCGACACACACCACATCCACCCAGCACACACCACATCCACCCAGCACACACCACATCCACCCAGCACACACCACATCCACCCAGCACACACCACATCCACCCAGCACACACCACATCCACCCAGCACTCACCACATCCACCCTGCACACACCACCACCCAGCACCACCCATCACCGCACTCACCACATCCACCAGCACTCACAACACATCCAACCAGCACACACACAACATCCACCCGAACACACACATCACCCTGCAATACCAATACACCAGACTCACTAATCAAGAATCTTCCACTTATCACATCATACAAAATCACCTAGTACTAACAATTCCCACTTTAGAAACACGAATCTACCGCATCACACAAATCCACCTAAGACACAATAACTACATCAACCCAGATCAACCAATCCACCCAACATACAATCCACCTTTAGCAACCTTATCCACCAGCACTACCACATGCAACAGCACTTACACATCCACCTGCATACACAATTCCAGTTTAGCACTCATACTCACATCAACCAATGCACAGCCCAGATCACCAAGCACTCCTGACCACGATTCACCAGCGCACTAACCAACATTCACCAACAAATTACCACATCCACTCTCACAACACTCACGATTAACAAATAGACTCACACTCACCAACAATCCACCTGGCACACAACCATGTCTCCAATCACCTCACACCACACATCTGTCCTACTCTATCTCACCACATCTACCCAGCTCACCACATCCACCTGCACACACCAATCCACCTGCATTCACCACATCCACCTAGCACACGTCAATCCACCCAGACAAACCAACAATCCACCTTTAGCACACACATCACCTGCAAACAATCGCCACAACACACACATCACCTAACACATACAATTTCACCTGACAATCACATTATAAATCCACAGCACACACACCACCTGATCACCCAGTCACATAACACATCATGCCCGACACAACCACATCCACCCCAGCACTCACCACATCCACCCAGCACTCACCACATCCACCCAGCACCAATCACCGCACACCACATCCACCCAGCACACACCACACCACCACACCACCCACACCAGCACCACCACATCCACCCAGCACACAACCACATCCACCCAGCACTCACACCACATCCACCCAGCACTCACACCCACATCCACCCAGCACTCACACACAATCCACCCCAGCACTCACCACCACATCCACCCAGCACTCACCACATCCACCCAGCACTCACCACATCCACCCAGCACTCACCACATCCACCCAGCACACACCACATCCACCCAGCACACAACCACACCCACCCCACACCACATCACCACAATCCACCACAGCCACTCACACAACACATCCACCCAGCACACACCACAATCCACCCAGCACACCACACATCCACCCAGCACTCACCACATCCACCCACACCACCACCATACACCCCAGCACTCACCACATCCACCCAGCACACACACCACATCCACCCAGCACCAACCACATCCACCCGCACACACACCACATCCACCCAGCACCACACCACATCCACCCAGCACACACAACACACCATCCACCCAGCAACACACCAACATCCACCCAGACAACAACCACGACCACACATCCACCCAGCACTCAACCACATCCACCCAGCACACACACCACATCCACCCAGCACTCACCACATCCACCCAGCACACACCACATCCACCCAGCACTCACCACATCCACCCTGCACACACCACATCCACCCTGCCTGGATGCACACACCACACTCATGCCAGTCACACACGTGTTGCTGTGTTTCATGTGCTGCACCCCTCATTGCTGCAGATTAGTGTAATGAAAAAGTAGAGTCAGTATCATCCATGCTAGCACAACAACCTCGCAGGGGAGGGCTCAGTGGTGTTTCTGTATCACTTGATTTTTCCTATAAAAAAAGTATGTTTCTCTTTATGAATATTTCACCCTTTGCCGTACATCTTTGTATGGTCTATTTGACCAACTTTGTATGTTGACCATCTTCACCACATTGTATTGTATCAAGAAATATACTGAACAAAAATATAAATGCAACATGTAAAATGTTGGTCCCATGTTTCATGAGCTGAAATAAAAGATCCCAGAAATGTTCCATATACGCACAAAAAGCTTATTTCTTCCTTTTACATCCCTGTTAGTGAGTATTTCTCATTTGCCAAGATAATCCATCCACCTGACAGGTGTGGCATATCAAGAAGATGATTAAACAGCATGACCATTACGCAGGTGCTGGGGAAAATAAAAGGCCTCTCTAAAATGTGCAGTTTTGTCACACAACACAATGCCACAGATGTCTCAAGTTTTGAGGGAGCATGTAATTGGCATGCTGACTTCAGGAATGTCCACCAGAGCTGTGGCCAGAAAATTGAATCTCTACCATAAGCCACCTCCAACGTTGTTTTAGAGAATTTGGCAGTACATCCAACTGGCCTCACAACTGCAGACCACACGAAACCACATCAGCCCAGCCCAGGACCTCCACATCTGGCTTCTTCACCTGCGGGATGGTCTGAAACAAGCCACCCTGACAGCTGATGAAACTGAGGGTTTTCACAACCAAAGGACTGTCAGAAACCATCTCAGGGAAGCTCATCTGTGTGCTCGTCATCCTCACCAGGGCCTTGACCTGACTGCAGTTCGGCGTCGTAACCGACTTCAGTGGGCAAATGCTCACCTTCACTGGCCACTGGCACGCTGGAGAAGTGTGCTCTTCACAGATGAATCCCGGTTTCAACTGCACTGGGCAGATGGCAGACAGCGTGTATGGCCTTTTGTGGGCGAGCGGTTTGCTGATGTCAACATTGTGAACAGAGTACGCCATGGTGGCGTTGGGGTTGTTATGGGCAGGCATAAGCTACAGACAATGAACACAATTGCATTTTATCGATGGCAATTTGATACGGTGACAAGATCCTGAGGCCAATTGTCATGCCATTCATCCGCTGCCATCACCTCCTGTTTCAGCATGATAATGCACGGCCCCATGTCACAATGAAGATGAATATGTCCCAGTTCTTCCATGGCCTACATACTCACCAGACATGTCACCCATTGAGCATGTTTGGGATGCTCTGGATCGACGTGTACGACAGCATGTTCCAGTTTCCACCAATATCCAGCAACTTCGCACAGCCATTGAAGAAGAGTGGGACAACATTCCACAGGCCACAATCAACAGCATGATCATCTCTATGCGAAGGAGATGTGTCTCGCTGCATGAGGCAAATGGTGGTCACACCAGATACTGACTGCTTTTCTGATCCACGCACCCTACTTTTTTTTTAAAGGTATCTGTGACCAACAGATGCATATCTGTATACCCAGTCATGTGAAATCCATAGATTAGGGCCTAATGAATTTATTTCAATTGACTGATTTCCTTATTTGAACTGTAACTCAGTAAAATCTTTGAAATTGTTGCATGTTGCGTTTGTGTATAATGTGCAATGGATTTCTGAAAATCTCTTCTTCTATCTTCTAAAAGAATGTATTTTCTATTCTGCTTTCTGCAAATGTTTGTGTTTTTTACATTTATAATAGGATAATGATACAGTATGTTCCATATCATGCCAAATCATCCTATTCTCCCATTTTCATATGAGGATTTTCTCTTTCCTCATAGCATCATCGTCATCATGTCAGTAATAGCAATGTATTCATGCGTTCACATATATTTGAATGAAATACCTCAGCCATTCAAGGCATCGGGCTCCCTCAAATAATCTTCAAATTTGGTGCACATGGTGCAGCCTCAACCCCCCGCCTCCAACCCAACAAGTCCCCACCTACTCTCCTCTACCGTGGGCCAATGAGCTCCGTCCCCCTGTCCCAGCCTCTGATGCAGCAGGCCACCGATCGGCTCCTTCCTTTGGGCATATGGGAGGGGGGTTGGAGTTGGGAATTTACACACAGAGCAGGCAGAATAGAGCTGCTGAGGGAGAGGCAGGAGTTGCTCCCCTCACCCTGCATCCTCAGCCTGGCTTTCACGCTTCCTCCTGGGAGCAAACTCTTATCTTCGCCCATTCCCGTAGTGTGTGGATAAAAGCTTTCCATTGCACCGTGTGTGGACTGTCTGCTAGCAGTGGAATTGAGGTGTTCAGGCAAGCAGGACAGGAGCACGGAGTGTGCCCGGCTTATACAGTACTAATGACCGTAAACTGAGTACATTAGCTACAGGAAGGACTCTGCTCTTTCATTCATTTCTTTCCACCCCATGCTTTATTTGGTGCTGAGATGCCCGAAGTCAATTACTTGTTTTTTGTGTCGAGGATGTACATTCAGGTAAGATGGGCTGGGATGGGATGCACGTGTTGCTCGGTGAATTAATGTGTAGTACAGGTGTCCTTGTTTGCAGAGTTCTTTGCAGTTAGTTGGGAAGTGATGCTGTCTTTGCAGCATGTGTGTGTGGGTATGTGTATGTGTGTGTGTGTGTGTGTGTGTGTGTGTATCCAGGAATGCATGAGCGTATGAGTGAGTCCATGAAGTCCATTCATGTATGTGCATGCAGATGTGTCCATTCATCTTTGTGTGCAAGAAGTATGTGTACGTGTGTCACATATGGGTGATTCTACAGAAGTGGTGCAGATTGCAGTCCCATCCCAAAAACGCTATTTAAAAAAACAGTCTCCAAACATTTATTTACATCATGATATGTTCTAATTTTATCCAAGGCAATAGCAAACATATTGTTAAATTAATACAGTACAAAGGCATTGTTTATACTCTATATGTCTACCTGACATATGTCGGAAGACGTGTGCTGAAAGTTTGGGAAAAATAGTATACAAATGGGAATTTTTTCCAACCCCCAATTTGCACCACTTCTGTAGAATGACCCATATAAAGTGAGCTACAAAAGTATTGGGACAGTGACAATTTTGTTGTTGTTTTTGCTCTGTACTCCAGCACTTTGGATTTGAAATGATACAATGACTATGAAGTTAAAGTGAAAACTGTCAGCTTTAATTTGAGGGTATTTTCGTCCATATCGGGTGAACTGTTTAGAAATTACAGCACTTTTTGTACATAGTCCCTCCATTTTAGGGGACCAAAGGTATTGGGACAAATTCACTTAAATGCGTATTAAAGTAGTCAAAAGTATGCCCAATAGAAATGAATGGTAAATAATGAATTGTGTCATTTTGGATTCATTTTAATTGTAAATAAGAATATTTTGAACACTTCTACATTAATGTGGACGCTACCATGATTACAGATAGTCCTGAATGAATCGTGAATAAAGATGAGTGAGAATGTTACAGATGCACAAATATCATACTCCCCCCCCCCCCCCCCCCAAAAAAAAAATGCTAACCTCCCCTGTTATTGTAATGGTAAGAGCATGTCTTGGGGGTATGATATTTGTGAGTCTGTAACTTTCTCACTCATCATGGAAGCATCCATATTAGTGTAGAAGTGTTTAGAAACATATTCTAATCTTATTTGCAATAAAAGTGACTCCAAAATGACACAATACAAAATGGGGGGACTATGTACAGCGCCTTGCAAAAGTATTCATCCCCCTTGGCGTTTTTCCAATTTTGTTGCATTACAACCTGTAATTTAAATTGATTTTTATTTGGATTTCATGTAATGGACATACACAAAATAGTCAAAATTGGTGAAGTGAAATGAAAATCCTAAAACAAAAATAGCGGAAAAGTGGTGCGTGCAAGTGGTGCGTGCATATGTATTCACCTTACCTATGAAGCCCCTAAATAAGATCTGGTGCAGCCAATTACCTTCAGAAGTCACATAATTAGTTAAATAAAGTCCACCTGTGTGCAATCTAAGTGTCACATGATCTGTCACATGATCTCAGTATATATACACCTGTTCTGAAAGGCCCCAGAGTCTGCAACACCACTAAGCAAGGGGCACCACCAAGCAAGCAGCACCATGAAGACCAAGAAGCTCTCCAAACAGGTCAGGGACAAAGTTGTGGAGAAGTACAGATCAGGGTTGGGTTATAAAAAAATATCCAAAACTTTGAGCACCATTAAATCCATTATAAAAAAATTGAAAGAATATGGCACCACAACAAACCTGCCAAGAGAGGGCCACCCACCAAAACTCACAGACCAGGCAAGGAGGGCATTAATCAGAGAGGCAACAAAGAGACCAAAGATAACCCTGAAGGAGCTGCAAAGCTCCACAGCGGAGATTGGAGTATCTGTCCATAGAACCACTTTAAGCCATACACTCTTCAGAACTGGGCTTTACGGAAGAGTAGCCAGAAAAAAAACATTGCTTAAAGAAAAAAATAAGCAAACACGTTTGGTGTTCGCCAAAAGGCATGTGGGAGACTCCCCAAAAATATGGAGGAATGTACTTTGGTCAGATTGAGCTTTTTGGCCATCAAGGAAAACACTATGTCTGGAGCAAACCCAACACCTCTCATCCCCCCGAGAACACCATCCCCACAGTGAAGCATGGTGATGGCAGCATCATGCTGTGGGGATGTTTTTCCATCGGCAGGGACTGGGAAACTGGTCAGAATTGAAGGAATGATGGATGGCGCTAAATACAGGGAAATTCTTGAGGGAAACCTGTTTCAGTCTTCCAGAGATTTGAGACTGGGACGGAGGTTCACCTTCCTGCAGGACAATGACCCTAAGCATACCGCATAGTTATGCACGCTCAAGTTTTCAGTTTATTTGTCTTATTTCTAGTTTTTTCACAAAAATAAATATTTTGCATCTTCAAAGTGGTAGGCATGTTGTGTAAATGAAATTATACAAACCCCCCAAAAATCATTTTTAATTCCAGGTTGTAAGGCAACAAAATAGGAAAAATGCCAAGGGGGGTGAATACTTTTGCAAGCCACTGTAAACAAAAAGTGCTGTAATTTCTAAACGGTTTACCCGATATGGATGAAAATACCCTCAAATTAACAGCATAGTCATTGTATCCTTTCAAATCCAGAGTACAGAGTCAAAAGAACAAAAATGCGTCACTGTCCCAATACTTTTGGAGCTCACTGTCATTCTGGCGCCGACGAAGATGACGGCCTCGCGACTAGCTCTTAGGAAACGTATTATTTTTTTAAATATATATATTTTTTACATTATTAGCTCAGAAACTGTTTTGTATCATTACATACAGCCGGGGAAAACTATTGGATATCAGAGCGGTGGTAACTCACCAGCATTACGACCAGGAATACAACTTTCCCGAAGCAGATCCTTTGTTTGCTCTCCCCAGGGCAACTGAACTGATTTAGCGGCTGACCCAAAACATCGCCGGCGGAGGAGAGGCACTCGGAGCGGCCTGCTTCCAAGTATACTACTCTACATTTTCTCTACCTTACCTGTCACCCTAGACCCACTTCAATTTGCTTACCGCCCCAATAGGTCCACAGACGATGCAATCGCCATCACACTGCACACTGCCCTATCCCATCTGGACAAGAGGAATAACTATGTAAGAATGCTGTTCATTGACTATAGCTCAGCATTCAACACCATAGTACCCTCCAAGCTCATCATTAAGTTTGAGGCCCTGGGTCTGAACCCCGCCCTGTGCAACTGGGTCCTGGACTTCCTGAAAGGCCGCCCCCAGGTGGTGAAGGTAGGAAACAACATCTCCACTTCGCTGATCCTCAACACTGGGGCCCCACAAGGTTGCATGCTCAGCCCCCTCCTGTACTCCCTGTTCACCCATGACTGCGTGGCCAAGCACGCCTCCAACTCATTAAGTTTGCAGACGACACAACAGTAGTAGGCATGATTACCAACAATGACGAGACCGCCTACAGGGAGGAGGTGAGGGCTCTGGGAGTGTGGTGCCAGGAAAATAACCTCTCACTCAACGTCAACAAAACAAAGGAGATGATCGTGGACTTCAGGAAACAGCAAAGGGTGCACCCCCCATCCACATCGACGGGACCGCAGTGAAGAAGGTGGAAAGCTTCAAGTTCCTTGGCGTACACATCACCGACAAACTGAAATGGTCCACCCACGCAGACAGTGTGGTGAAGAAGGCGCAAAAGAGCCTCTTCAACCTCAGGAGGCTGAAGAAATTCGGCTTGGCACCTAAACTCCTCACAAACTTTTACAGATGCACAATTGAGAGCATCCTGTCGGGCTGTATCACCGCCTGGTACGGCAACTTCACCGCACACAACCGCAGGGCTCTCCAGAGGGTGGTGCGGTCTGCCGAACGCATTACCGGGGGCAAACTACCCACTCTCCAAGACACATACAGCACCCGATGTCACAGGAAGGCCAAAAAGATAAACAAGGACATCAACCACCTGAGCCACTGCCTGTTCACCCCGCTAACATCCAGAAGGCGAGGTCTGTACAGGTGCATCAAAGCTGGGACCGAGAGAATGAAAAACAGCTTCTATCTCAAGGACATCAGACTGTTAAATAGCCATCACTATCACATTAGAGGCTGCTGCTGCCTATTGAAATCACTGGCCACTTTAAGAAATGGAACACTAGTCACTTTAATAATGTTTACATATCTTGCACTACTCATCTCATATGTATATACTGTATTCTATTCTATAATATTTTACTGTATCTTAGTCCATGCCGCTCTGTCATTGCTTGTCCATATATGTATATATTCTTAAATTCCATTCCTTACTAGTGCATTGGGTATATGTTGTGAAATTGTTAGTTATTACTTGTTAGATATTACTGCACTGTCGGAGCTACAAGCACAAGCATTTCGCTAAACACCCGCTATAACATCTGCTAAACACGTGTATGTGACAAATACAATTTGATTTGATTTGATTTGATATACAATACCGGTCAAAAGTTTGGACACATCTACTCATTCCAGGGTTTTTCTTTATTTTTAATATTTTCTACATTGTAGAATAATAGTGAAGACATCAAAACTATGAAATAACACGTATGGAATCATGTAGTAACCAAAAAAGTGTTAAACAAATCAAAATCTATTTTATATTTTAGATTCTTCAAAGTAGCCACCCTTTGCCTTGATGACAGCTTTGCACACTCTTGGCATTCTGTCCACCAGCTTCACCTGGAATGCTTTTCCAAAAGTATTGAAGGTTTTCCCACATATGCTGAGCACTTGTTGGCTGCTTATCCTTCACTCTGCGGTCCAACTCATCCCAAACCATCTCAATTGGGTTGAGGTCGGGTGATTGTGGAGGCCAGGTCATCTGATGCAGCACTCAATCACTCTCCTACTTAGTCAAATAGCCCTTAAACAGCTTAGAGGTGTGTTGGGTCATTGTCCTGTTGAAAACAGATTATAGTCCCACTAAGCGCAAACCAGATGGGATGGCGTATCGCTGCAGAATGCTGTGGTAGCCATGCTGGTTAAGTGTGCCTTGAATTCTAAATTAATCACTGACAGTGTCACCAGCAAAGCACCATCACACCTCCTCCTCCATGCTTCACGGTGGGAACCACACATGCAGAGATCATCCGTTCACCTACTCTGCGTCTCACAAAGACACAGCATTTGGAACCAAAAATCTCAAATATGGACAGATTTCCACCAGTCTAATGTCCATTTCTCATGTTTCTTGGCCCAAGCAAGTCTCTTCTTCTTATTGGTGTCCTTTAGTAGTGGTTTCTTTGCAGTAATTTCGACCATGAAGGCCTGATTCACACAGTCTCCTCTGAACAGTTGATGTTGAGATGTGTCTGTTACTTGAACTCTGTGAAGCATTTATTTGGGCTGCAATTTCTGAGGCTGGTAACTCTAATGAACTTATCCTCTGCAGCAGAGGTAACTCTGGGTCTTCCTTTCCTGTGGCAGTCCTCATGAGAGCCAGTTTCATCATAGCGCTTGATGGTTTTTGCGACTGAACTTGAAGAAACTTTCAAAATTCTTGAAATGTTCTGGATTGACTGACGTTCATGTCTTAAAGTAATGATTGACTGTCGTGTCTCTTTGCTTAGTTGAGCTGTTCTTGCCATAATATGGACTAAGTCTTTTACCAAATAGGGCTATCTTCTGTATTCCACCCCTACCCTGTCACAACACTGATTGACTCAAACGCATTAAGAAGGAAAGAAATTCCACAAATTCAACTTTTAACAAGGCACACCTGTTAATTGAAATGCATTCCAGGTGACTACCTCATGAAGCTGGTTGAGAAAATGCCATGAGTGTGCAAAGCTGTCATCAAGGCAAAGGGTGGGTACTTTGAAGAATTTAAAATATAAAATATATTTAGATTTGTTTAACACTTTTTTTGGTTACTACATGATTCCATATGTGTTATTTCATAGTTTTGATGTCTTCACTATTATTCTACAATGTAGCAAATAGTAAAAATCAAGAAAAACCCTGGATTGAGTAGGTATGTCCAAACTTTTGACCGGTACTGTATATCTGTGTGTGTATGTGTGGGTATGCGTCTTCAGAGCAGACTGTTGATGTTTCAGAGAGGGGGATATCTATTATCCTTGTGTATGATGATTATATAATACATCATTGTATCATCTTCTGCACATATGAAGGAAGAGTTCTCTACTCAGCCTCCTTTGCAAGCTCCTCCTAATGCCGATATTCTAGCCAGCCTGTACTCTAGCCACTATGAGTGAAGCACAGGAAACAATACTATCGGTGCAACTCAGTGTTGTAAATTGTCTTATGGTGCATCCATATGCACACACTCTCATTCTTGTCATTTTGCATTGCTTTAGTCTCACTTGACCCTCTGTTTACACTCCAGATATGAGATACAGTAGTGTGCTCATAGTAGAGCTAGATGATGACTGGCAGTCCGGAGTACCAATCAAGACTGTTTACGCTTGCTGAGCAACCTAGAGAAACTAGATCTCCTACATACTGAGGTGCATTCAGTTCGCTTGAATGTTTGCTACGTTGCGGAACGGTTTGTACGTTTCCCCAAAATGTTATTGAATAGACTTTGAGGTATAAAAAGTATGTGGACACCTGCTCATCGAACATCTCATTCCAAAATCATGGGCATTAATATGGAGTTGGTCCCCCCTTTGCTGCTGTAACAGCCTCCACTCTTCTGGGAAGGCTTTCCACTGTTGGAAGAGCATTAGTGAGGTCGGGCACTGATGTTGGGCGATTAGGCCTGGCTCGCAGTCGCCGTTCCAATTCATCCCGTTTGATGGGGTTGAGGTCAGGGTGCTGTGCAGGTCAGTCAAGTTCTTCCACATCGATCTCGACAAACCATTTCTCTATGGACCTTGTTTTGTGCACGGGGGCATTGTCATGCTGAAACAGGAAAGTGCCTTCCCCAAACTGTTGCCACAAAATTGGAAGCATAGAATCGTCTAGAATGTCATTGTATGCTGTAGCGTTAAGATTTCCCTTCACTGGAACTAAAGTGGCCTAGCCCGAACCATGAAAAACAGTCCCAGACCATTATTCCTCCTCCACCAAACTTTACAGTTGGCACTATGCATTCGGGCAAGTAGCGTTCTCCTGGCATCCGCCAAACCCAGATGGTGAAGCGTTATTCATCACTCCAAAGAATTTGTTTCCACTGCTCTAGAGTCCAATGAAGGCGAGCTAAACACCACTCCAGCCGGTGCTTGGCATTGCACATGGTCATCTTAGGCTTGTGGCAGCTCGGCCATGGAAACCCATTTCATGAAGCTCCCGACGAACAGTTCTTGTGCTGACTTTGCTTCCAGAGGCAGTTTGGAACTCGGTAGTGAGTGTTGCAACCGAGGACAGACGATTTTTACACGCTATGCGATTCAGCACTCGCCGGTCCCGTTCTGTGAGCTTGTGTGGCTTACCACTTCGCGGCTGAGCCGTTGTTGCTCCTAGACATTTCCACTTCACAATAACAGCACTTACAGTTGACCGGGGCAGCTCTAGCAGGGCAGAAATTTGACGAATTGACTTGTTGGAAAGGTGGCATCCTATAACGGTGTCACGTTGAAAGTCACTGAGCTCTTCAGTAAGGCCAGTCTACTGCCACAGTTTGTCTGTGGAGATTGCATGGCTATGTGCTCAATCTTATCCACCTTTCAGCAACAGTGTGGCTGAAATAGCCGAATCTACTAATTTGAAGGGGTGTCCACATACTTTTGTATATATAGTGTATATTTATAGAGAAGAGGACCCTGCATCTCAGAAAGACAATGCTGTTATTCTCATCCACTTCAGTAGAAAAGTTTCAATGCCAGCTACATAGTCTTGCAGAAGGACAGACTCAGAAAAGGTTACTACTGTATGTGAAGTGCTATTATTGCACTACAGGGTTCCAAAAGGGTTCTTTGGGTGTCCCCATAGGATAATCCTTTTTGGTTCCAGGTAGAACCCTCTGTGGAAGGAGTTCTTATGGAACCAAAAAGGGTTCTTCAAAGGGTTCTCCTATGGGGAAAGCCGGACAACAATTTTAGGTTCTAGATACCACCTTTTTTATAAGAGTGTATTATTTCAGCTATCTTTGGACAGCAATTGACCAGAATAAAGATGCTGTGAACACATAATTTACTGCATACTACTAAATGTCTCACAGTGTACATGTGCCTATCATGTGTATGCCCACTGTCTATAGTAGAAAGTATATTGTTACAGTCAGAGTGATGCAGTGTGTTGTTGTTGTTTGTCTCCCCAGTTCAAGAGGATGCTGAACAGAGAGCTCACTCAGCTATCAGAGACCAGCAGATCAGGGAACCAGGTGTCCGAGTTCATCTCCAGCACCTTCCTCGGTACCTCTCTCTCTCTCTCTCTCTCTCTCTCTCTCTCTCTCTCTCTCTCTCTCTCTCTCTCACTCTCTCTCTCTCTTGCTCTCTCCTGACTGACTTACTGTGTTAATAGAGACCTGTAATGTGAACCTAATAGTTACTAATGTGACATGTGACATAGTGACATGTCATTACACCAATACAATATAATTCCATGTAACTACATGATATCCGTGCAACTTCAACTCAATGTAAAGTGTCACCAGGCCTAGTTTCAATAGACAACCATTTCTGTGTAATGTCAATGTGTAATAATCCTCTCTGTCTGTCTGTACCACAGAAAAGCAACATGACATGGAGATCATGTCTCCGCCCACCAAGGAGAAGAAGGAGAAGATGGACAAGAAGAAGCGCCCCATGTCTCAGATTGTGGGCGTGAAGAAGCCTATCCTCATCCCCAGTGTGGCCCCCTCCAGCATCCCCCGCTTCGGGGTCCCTTCCAGTCAGGAGACCCTCCTTGCCAAAGTAGTCTACACAACCCTTCTTTTCTGATGATATAACTAGAACCTACCTCACTTTTAAGGTTCTGTTCTGTCACAAGTTTAGTCACTTTTAGGATCTAATAGTCCCCTGCATGTTTTAGGGTTAAAGGATCTGGTGTTTTTTCTAACTGAAATGTTTTTCCATCTGGCAGGAGTTGGAAGATATAAACCGATGGGGCATGGATAATTTCAAAATATCGGAATATTCTGGGAATCGTCCACTGACGGTGGCGATGTATTCCATTTTCCAGGTATGTCATCCTTCTGCATCCACAAAGATACTGTTTGGGAAACTTAGATGATGTTACTGTTGTCTTGAAGGATAAAAAGTGTGTTTCTTATGATGAAAATGAAGTTTCTCTAAATAAAGGGATCTCTAATAAAGTAGTCTCTCTCTAATAATGTAAATTTAGTTTTTTCCCCCCTTCTACGTTTCCTCCATAGGAGCGAGAGCTGCTGAAGTCCTTCAAGATCCCTGCAGACACCTTCATCACCTTCATGATGACCCTGGAGGACCACTACCACCACGACGTGGCCTACCACAACAACATCCACGCTGCAGACGTGGTCCAGTCCACCCACGTCCTTCTCTCCACCCCCGCCCTGGAGGTACGTCAATACAATACAACTTTTTAGTTCATTTTTTTTACAATATATTTGTATTACAAATATCAATGTCCCCTGTTGTTGTTACATCTATGCATGAGTACAACACACATTCTCACACACATACAGTATTTACCTGCATTAACATTCATGTGTTTCTCTCATCTCTGCAGGCTGTGTTCACTGACTTGGAGATCCTGGCTGCTCTGTTTGCCAGTGCTATACATGATGTGGACCACCCGGGGGTGTCCAACCAATTCCTCATCAACACCAGTGAGTTCATATGGGGCCCTAGGATGGAGATGTTTCAAATCTTGGAATCCTTTGTGGTTTTGTGTCCACATTAAATCAATTCACGGGCCGCATCTGGCCCACAGTCCGCCAGTTTGAGACCCCTGTGTCACACCTTGGCCTTAGTTATCTTTGTTTTCATTCATATTTTAGTTAGGTCAGGGTGTGACATGGTGAAGTATGTGTTTTGGTTTGTCTAGGGGTTTGTAGGTTTATGGGGTAATGTCTTGTCTAGGTGTTTGTATGTTGATGGCTGCCTAGATTGGTTCTCAATTGGAGACAGCTGTGGTTTATTGTCTCTAATTGGGAGCCATATTTAAGGCAGCCATGGGCATCATGTGTTTGTGGGTAATTGTCTATATTGAACGTTTGTTGCTTGTCTGTGCACTTACGTTATTTAGCTTCACGGTCGTTTGTTGTTTTGTAAGTTTTGGATAGTGTTCGGTTTCGTGTTTTTCTCTCTTCCAAAATAAAGAGATGTATTTTGCACACGCTGCGCCTTGGTCCTCCTCTATGCTTGACGATCGTGACAGAATTACCCACCAATCTAGGACCAAGCGGCGTGTCAAGCGGCAACAGGACCCACCTACACAGGATTCATGGACATGGGAGGAGATACTGGATGGAAAGGGTCCTTGGGCACAACCGGGAGAAGTTCGCCGCCCTCGTGAAGAGCTGGAGGCAGCTAAAGCCGAGAGGAGGCGATATGAGGAGGCAGCACGGAGGCAAGGCTGGAAGCCCGTGAGCACTAGCCAAAAATTTCTTGGGGGGGGCCTTAAAGGGAGTGTGGCGAAGTCAGGTAGGAGACCTGCGCCTACTCCCTGTACTTACCGTGGAGAGCGAGAGTACGGGCAGACACCGTGTTACGCAGTAGAGCGCATGGTGTCTCCTGTACGCGTGCATAGCCCGGTTCGGTACATTCCAGCTCCACGTATCGGCCGGGCTAGATTGAGCGTTGAGCCGGATGTCATGAAGCCGGCCCAACGCATCTGGCCACCAGTGCGTCTCCTCGGGCCGGCTTACATGGCACCAGCCTTACGCATGGTGTCCCCGGTTCGCCTACATAGCCCGGTGCGGGTTATTCCACCTTCCCGTACTGGTCGGGCGACGGGGAGCATACAACCAGGTAAGGTTGGGCAGGCTCAGTGCTCAAGGGAGCCAGTAAGCCTGCACGGTCCGGTATTTCCGGCGCCACCTCCCCGCTCCAGCCCAGTACCACCAGTGCCTACACCACGCACCAAGCCTCCTGTGTGTCCCCGGAGTCATGTGCGTCCTGTTGCTGCTCCCCGCACTAGCCCTGAGATGCGTGTCCTCAGCCCGGGACCACCAGTTCCGGCACCACGCACTAGGCCTTATGTGCGTCCCCAGGGTCCAGCATGCCCTGTTCCTTCTCCCCGCACTAGACCTGAGATGCGTGTCCTCAGCCCGGTACCTCCAGTTCCGGCACCACGCACCAGGCCTATAGGGCGTCTCGCCCGGCCAGAGTCTGCCGTCTGCCTAATGGCGCCTGAACTGCCCGTCTGCCCAACGCCGTCTGAACTGTCCGTCTGCCAAGCGCTGCATGAACTGCCCGTCTGTACTGAGCCGGCTAAGCCGCCCGTCTGCCATGAGCCTTCAGAGCCGTCCGCCAGACCGGAGCCGCTAAAACCTTCCGCCAGACAGGAGCCGCTAGAGCCTTCCGCCAGACAGGATCAGCCAGAGCCTTCCGCCAGACAGGATCAGCCAGAGCCTTCCGCCAGACAGGATCAGCCAGAGCCTTCCGCCAGACAGGATCAGCCAGAGCCTTCCGCCAGCCATGAGCAGCCAGATCCGTCAGCCAGCCATGAGCAGCCAGATCCGTCAGCCAGCCATGAGCAGCCAGATCCTTCAGCCAGCCATGAGCAGCCAGATCCGTCAGCCAGCCATGAGCAGCCAGATCCGTCAGCCAGCCATGAGCAGCCAGATCCGTCAGCCAGCCATGAGCCGTCCAGCCAGGATCCGCCAGAGCCGTCCAGCCAGGATCCGCCAGAGCCGTCCAGCCAGGATCCGCCAGAGCCGTCCAGCCAGGATCCGCTAGAGCCGTCCAGCCGGGATCCGCCAGAGCCGTCCAGCCAGGATCCGCCAGCCAGCCAGGATCCGCCAGAGCCAGCCAGCCAGGATCCGCCATTCAGTCCGGTGCTGCCCCTTAGTCCGGTGCTGCCCCTTAGCCTGGTGCTGCCCCTTAGTCCGGTGCTGCCCCTTATCCTGGTGCTGCTCCTTATCCTGGTGCTGCTCCTTATCCTGGTGCTGCCCCTTAGTCCGGTGCTGCCCCTTAATCCAGTGGGGTTAAGTTGGAGGGTGGTCATTTGGAGGAGGCTACGTAAGCGGGTAGTGACTATGGTGGGGTGGGGACCACGACCAGTGCCAGAGCCGCCACCGTGGACAGACGCCCACCCAGACCCTCCCCTAGACTTTATGCTGGTCCGCCCGGAGTTCGCACCTTAAGGGGGGGGTTATGTCACACCTTGGCCTTAGTTATCTTTGTTTTCATTCATATTTTAGTTAGGTCAGGGTGTGACATGGTGAAGTATGTGTTTTGGTTTGTCTAGGGGTTTGTAGGTTTATGGGGTAATGTCTTGTCTAGGTGTTTGTATGTTGATGGCTGCCTAGATTGGTTCTCAATTGGAGACAGCTGTGGTTTATTGTCTCTAATTGGGAGCCATATTTAAGGCAGCCATGGGCATCATGTGTTTGTGGGTAATTGTCTATATTGAACGTTTGTTGCTTGTCTGTGCACTTACGTTATTTAGCTTCACGGTCGTTTGTTGTTTTGTAAGTTTTGGATAGTGTTCGGTTTCGTGTTTTTCTCTCTTCCAAAATAAAGAGATGTATTTTGCACACGCTGCGCCTTGGTCCTCCTCTATGCTTGACGATCGTGACACCCTGCTGTAGAATATCTATCTTTGTGTGTGTGCGCTTATATCTGTCCAAAGCCTCTTACAATTAACCCATTCATTCATTGTATGTGGCATATGCAGGAATTGAACCCAAAACACTGGCCTAAACTGACAGCATCATGCTCCAACCAACTGAACCATTGGGAACATATTACTGTCATATTACCGCACCTGCTCTCTCGACCTCTGAATACTCAGATATGAAAAGCCAACTGACATTTACTCCTGAGGTACTGACTTGTTGCACCCTCTATAACCACTGTGATTACTATTTGACCCTTATGGTCATCTATGAACTTTTGAACATCTTGAAGAACGATCTGGCCTTAATGGCCACGTACTCTTATAATCTCAACCCTGCACAGCCAGAAATGGACTGGCCACCCCTCGGATCCTAGTTCCTCTCAAGGTTGTTTTAGTTTCCATATGTCTGCCATTAAAGAAAGCAAAAATATGAAGAAATGAAGAACTTTACACTTTGTCGGTGGCTGCGTATTTATTTGTAGCTACCTTCCGAGCTTTGGGAGAAAAAATTGGACAGATTTCAACTACAGTACTCAACCAAATGTTTTAGTTTCCATATGTCTGCCATTAATTTTCTGGATAACATCAGTAGAGTAGGAGATCCCTCTGAGTTTCAGACACGCTGTTCCTATGTTTCTCTCCTGACCAGGTCCCGGTTTCCCAAAAGCATCTCAAGGCTAAGTTCAACTTTTGGGAAACTGGGCCCAGAACACTTGTCTACAGTCTTGACAATCCAAACACAACTGTTTACTACGGGTTTCTAAGCGTTTACTGTTACTGTACGCCTGTCCACCTTGCCAATAAAGGAGTCTTCATGCTTTTGACATCATTGATGCTTATTGGAAATAATGTTGACCATGGAATGCTGCAATGATAAGCATGTTTTTTCCCCAATGACACTGAATTCAGATTACATTATGGTTATCTAAGTGTATTTCAATAGGAAATTGTTGAAACAATCATTCTAAATCAAAACATATTTATGTTGAATACAGTCATACAAGAAAGGGATAGATGGCAAAATAATTGAATCAGGAGCTATCAGTGGGGTGATGGGTTGGGCCCAATTATGTATATAATGTAAACCCTAGATTGCGGATGCTATGTATTGGTCATTGAGAGGCTTTGAAGCCACCGGTCGGCCATATTGGCACTCCCCAGTAGGAGCAGTCCTTCATAGGAATGAATGGAATTCTACAGTATTTCAATTAAATGTTTCAAGGACAAAATTACATGTATTTAAGTATTTAGTTGTTGTAGTGGGGACAGTAACATTAGTAGTTCTACTTTAACGAAAATGTTTTAATATATTTTTTCATTTTTAGGTTTAGCTCACATAATATAATTTAAAAGTATGCATTAACGTGGATGTAATATAATAAATGTGGCAAAAACGAATGTAGACATTAATAAATGCATTTCTATAGCTTCCAAAATATTTTTACACCGTTAGGGGAGTGCCAAGATGGAGGCACGGTGGTGTCAACACAGCGCCGCCTTTAGCTATCTAGTGTATATGTAAATCATTGGGTGGGCCTAGCCTCTGTCAAGTCCAAGGGGCCAGGGTTCCAGTCTAGAAGCACGGTTTCGACTGCTCCTACAGTTTAAAATATTGGAATCCTTTGTGGTTTTGTGTCCACATTAAATCAATTCACGGGCCGCATCTGGCCCACATTCCGCCAGTTTGAGACCCTTGCTGTAGAATATCTATCTTTGTGTGTGTGCGTTTATATCTGTCTTTGTCTGTATAACACTTATCCATCCTCTCCTGTGTGTCCGTCCAGACTCAGAGCTGGCCCTGATGTACAATGACGTGTCAGTCCTGGAGAACCACCACCTGGCTGTAGGCTTCAAGCTGCTGCAGGAAAACAACTGTGACATCTTCCAGAACCTCAGCAAGAAACAGAGACAGTCCCTACGCAAGATGGTCATAGACATGGTGTTAGCCACAGACATGTCCAAACACATGAACCTGCTGGCTGACCTGAAGACCATGGTGGAGACCAAGAAGGTGACCAGCTCTGGAGTGCTGCTGCTGGACAACTACGGAGATCGCATCCAGGTTAGACTCAGAAAGAATCAGATTCATTCTCTTAGCAGGGAATCATATTCAGCATAACTGATGTGAATTAGATGATAATATGGCCATTTGCCTGACACTTTCATCCAAAGACTCTTACAATTAACCCATTCATTCATTGTATGTGGCATATGCAGGAATTGAACCCAAAACACTGGCCTAAACTGACAGCATCATGCTCCAACCAACTGAACCATTGGGAACATATTACTGTCATATTACCGCACCTGCTGTCTCGACCTCTGAATGCTCAGATATGAAAAGCCAACTTACATTTACTCCTGAGGTGCTGACTTGTTGCACCCTCTATAACCACTGTGATTACTATTTGACCCTTATGGTCATCTATGAACTTTTGAACATTTTGAAGAACGATCTGGCCTTAATGGCCACGTACTCTTATAATCTCAACCCTGCACAGACAGAAATGGACTGGCCACCCCTTGGATCCTGGTTCCTCTCTAGGTTCCTCCCTTTCTAGGGAGTTTTTCCTAGCCAATGTGCTTCTACATCTGCATTGCTTGCTCTTTGGGGTTTTAGGTTGGGTTTCTGTATAAGCACTTTGTGACAACTGCTGATGTAAAAAGAGCTTTATAAAATAGATTTGATTGATTGACCGATATGATTCTATGGCCATTTCATTTCCTCGATGCTCAATAAGAACTGGTTTTGGTTCTCTCCAGGTCCTCCAGAACATGGTTCACTGTGCTGACCTCAGTAACCCCACCAAGCCCCTGGAGCTGTACCGCCAGTGGACCGACCGCATCATGGTGGAGTTCTTCACCCAGGGGGACAGGGAGAGGGACAAGGGCATGGAGATCAGCCCCATGTGTGACAAACACAACGCCTCCATTGAGAAGAACCAGGTATGGTTACTACACACACATACACACACAAGCACAGAGACACATACAGTATACACACTATGTACACATGCATAGAGACATACACACACATACACTGTCTGAACGGAAAAGTCTGCCTCTCTGACAAATATGTCAATAAATATATTCCTCTTCCCCTCCAGGTGGGCTTCATAGACTACATCGTCCACCCTCTATGGGAGACGTGGGCCGACCTGGTCCATCCCGACGCCCAAGAGATCCTAGACACGCTGGAGGACAACCGCGAGTGGTATCAGAGCATGATCCCCCACAGCCCCTCGCCCACCCCCGAGGCCCAGGACAAGGTGGGCCTGCCTGGGGGAGCCATGGGGGCCGGAGGTGGATCCTCCACCGGAGACAAATTCCAGTTTGAGCTGACCCTAGAGGAGGAAGGCGAGTCCGACACAGAGAGCCCCCCGGAAGAGGAGGAGGGGTACAGTAGCACTGGGGGGGAGCCTTCTAGAACTGACCCGGACAGCAGACTCCATTCCGTGTCTGCCACTGCTCACCCACACTATCAGGGGCTTTCCAAAATGGCCACCTCTGTCCTCAATGTCGGTGGTAGGACTTTGTCCGCAGACTCTGAACCAGACAGGGAGGCTGCCGAAGACAGAGAACATGACCAAGAAGGCAATGCCGGTGTGAGGCGCTTCAGGCTAGGTACATAACACCAGTGCAATGTTATTTTTTGTTCGTTTTTTTGTTGATTTTCTGTGCCTCCCCCTGACCCCTTTACCCCCCATCTTTGGCTTCCTTGGACTGAATTGCAGGACAAAGCTGAGGTAGAGAATGTAAAGGGGGTGCGTTCAGGAAGTCTGCACTTACACAGCAGTCACCTTGCACTGGAGAGATGAGAGCCCCACTGTTCCTACTTGTTCGGTTGCAGAGTACAGGAAACCGTGTTTTTGAGCTGGTCTTTTGTGTTTTACCGATATGTCTCTGAGTTGAACATGCGTCACCATGTTTGGCTTACGTTTTTCAGAGATGCTGAGAAAACCAACCTTCCTGTTTTGCCAGCCAACCCAAGGTCTACGACGAAGGAGCGAGGAATTTTGCGGGACACGTCTTCCTTTTGACTACTTATGACTGCTTGAAACAATTGACGACGCGTTAAGCTTAGTATCAACAAACACCATAAAGTATTTTGAGACATTATGCCAAACAGCGCAATAAACAGGAACTTGGCCAATGGCAATATTTGCCTGCCTTTACAACTGTTGATCATTTTATATTTTATTCAAGTCCTTTCAAAATAGTGCCGGAAGTGGTTTTTACTGGTAAACTGCAGACCTTACCAGATATTTACTACAAAGGACATAGTACAGAGCAGGCCCTCAGAATGGATTGAGGAATATATTGTTTAAATGCAGCAACAATACTTTTTAGGTACCCCTGTTGCAATTGCTACTAGGTGCCTCGCAAGGGGTCTTGTGCTAAGATTGTAATGCAGCTGTAGTGCTGCTGCTTCAGTCAAACTCTTAACAACTGGTTTAGGGTCAGTTCTTCCTCACACAGTCCTAACCTGAACTGTTACGTGTAAACCTACAAAACCAACCCTGAGCCAGTTGTTATATGGGTATAAAAGTAAGACAAAGCTATGCTGTCTGCACCTGGAGCCTCCCAGTGTTGAAATTCTGAATTGAAGTCAGCACATGTAATACAATTCAAGGCATTAAAAATGCCCATACCTACTGTAAATGGACTATAGGTATGTTAATTTGATTGGGTTTAGCTATGGTGTTACTGTACCCAAAACAAGGTCTTCAGTTAAGAATCAACACTTTTCTGTATGATTTTGTTTTTTGGAAGTCACTCAAAGTGTATACATACTGCTTTATGTTGTAATTGTGTGTATCATTAACCTTTTTACGGCACCCATTTTCATTGGTCTGCCTCCACTTTTAGCACTTTGCAATTTAACTCACAGCCAATATCCTGCTTGAAAGGGCTTGAACCAATCAATGAACACATTGAAGGTGTAACCAGCACTTACATACCCTGTCTCGTTAGGAGAACTAGTTGTTTTTTGGGGGAACCTGGACAAAGATGAGAAGTGTTTGACAGTAGGTCTGTGGACAATGTCCTTTCAAGTCCATCATGTTTTCCACAGGTACCATCATCACTGGTCACATTTTCAACCAGTTGAATGACTAAATAAGATACATTGGTAGCATGTACATATGTCATCTGGGTTTGTGAAGAAAATGTTGTAATATTTGCCAAACTATTTCAGAGATGTTTGAAAGATGTGCCACTCAAGCGCAATTCTGTCATGGGCCAGTTCTGTGCCAGAATGTTTCCCCCCTTTTTATTTTGTCATTGGTCAATATTCTGCTCTTCACAGGGACAAAGCCAATGACAATACAAGTGCCAAGCAAGCATGACACAACTCGTACTGTAATTTCCATTTTGCCCCTGGCTAATTTCCATCAATGACTGACTGACAGCATTGTTGATCATGTCGCCCTCCCTGTGTACCCGTTCTGTCCAATAGGTTTTCTGTTTCAGAACAATAATCCCCTGATAACTGTACTTGTCTTAAAGAAGTGGTATGTTTGAATGGTTGGACATTTTGATTCATTGTATTTGTAAAGCAACCAAAGCACTTTGTATGGTACTTTTACAAGTCTGCACTTCCATAACAGTTGAGTGTAATGTAACTTGACTAATCCACGTTAGTATTCTGTCTGTATTCTGGTATTATGTGGCTTGATTATTACAATTGATGCACAGCACAGGCTGGACCACTGCAGCTGAAATAGGGGACTTGTTGTGTTATGGAATTGAACCTTTTTGTAACTAACTACAGTATGTTTTGATAAAGATACATGATTTTCGCTGCAAGATTCATAAGGAGAGTATTCAAGTAACTAAGATAAACTCATCTGTGGACGAAAAACTAATATTGAACCGCCATCGTGGAGTAAATTTATGTTGGGTTTTACGAAAGATCTAGAAATGAGACTTCCTGGAGCCTTATACGTCCATATGTTTTTTTTCAGCATAGATTTGATATTTGATAAGGTGGAGATACGCCACTGCATAACGTAGCTAAGGAGTACAAACAGTCAAGAACTCAAGCAAGCCTTTCTACCTTCCTTAACTGTCATGCAACATTTTTAATGACTGTCTATCATTTATTGTTTTGTATTTTTCATTTATTGTTTTGTATATTTTCCTCACAATGCTTTGTGTACAGTTTATTTATTATTTCTATATATATGTCCGAAATGAAGAACTATAGACTTTGTCGGAGGCTGCGTATTTATTTGTAGCTACCTTCCGAGCTTTGGGAGAAAAAATGGGACAGATTTCAACTACAGTACTCAACCAAATGTTTTAGTTTCCATATGTCTGCCATTAAAAAAATACTCAAACTTTCAGAATTTTCTGGATAACATCAGTAGAGTAGGAGATCCCTCTGAGTTTCAGACACGCTGTTCCTATGTTTCTCTCCTGACCAGGTCCCGGTTTCCCAAAAGCATCTCAAGGCTAAGTTCAACTTAGCCTTATGATGCTTTTGGGAAACTGGGCCCAGAACACTTGTCTACAGTCTTGACAATCCAAACACAACTGTTTACTACGGGTTTCTAAGCGTTTACTGTTACTGTACGCCTGTCCACCTTGCCAATAAAGGAGTCTTCATGCTTTTGACATCATTGATGCTTATTGGAAATAATGTTGACCATGGAATGCTGCAATGATGAGCATGTTTTTTCCCCAATGACACTGAATTCAGATTACATTATGGTTATCTAAGTGTATTTCAATAGGAAATTGTTGAAACAATCATTCTAAATCAAAACATATTTATGTTGAATACAGTCATACAAGAAAGGGATAGATGGCAAAATAATTGAATCAGGAGCTATCAGTGGGGTGATGGGTTGGGCCCAATTATGTATATAATGTAAACCCTAGATTGCGGATGCTATGTATTGGTCATTGAGAGGCTTTGAAGCCACCGGTCGGCCATATTGGCACTCCCCAGTAGGAGCAGTCCTTCATAGGAGTGACTGGAATTCTACAGTATTTCAATTAAATGTTTCAAGGACAAAATTACATTTATTTAATTATTTTTTTTGTTATAGTGGGGACAGTAACATTAGTAATTCTACTTTAAGGAAAATGTTTTTATATATTTTTTCAATTTTATGTTTAGCTCACATAATATAATTTAAAAGTATGCATTAACGTGGATATAATATAATAAATGTGGCAAAAACGAATGTAGACATTAATAAAGGCATTTCTATAGCTTCCAAAATATTTTTACACCGTTAGGGGAGTGCCAAGATGGAGGCACGGTGGTGTCAACACAGCGCCGCCTTTAGCTATCTAGTGTATATGTAAATCATTGGGTGTGCCTAGCCTCTGCCGAGTCCAAAGGGACAGGGTTCCGGTCTAGAAGCACGGTTTCGACTGCTCCTACAGTTTTACTTCGGTACTGCAGTTTAACTGACGCCCGGCCCAGAAATACAATTTCCATACACAGCCACATAGAGAAGTCAGATTTGAATATTCCTAATAAGACACTTTAGTCATCACTTTTGTGCACAAATCATCCATTGAATTATTCATACAATTGTCACTATGGCTGATTTTTTTTCCATCACTCACAGCCAAAGATATTAACATTTTATATTCATTCAATGTCTGATATGTTTTTGGTCACTGCTCATGCTACTCCCTCTACACACTGAGTGCTAAACCGGGTGCAACCTGGATATCAGTGGCAGTTGGTGCCGTTTAAGATGCGAGAGGACGCAAAACATTTTAGATGAGCATGGCCTTATTTCTATTACAGCATATTGGATGACTGTCATTCATATTCCATTCACCCAGCTCAATGTAACATTGATAGGTTTAGGCTACTAAATGATACTCACATTTTCTCTATATCAATCATGAGGTTGCTACAACCTAGCCTAGGAATGAAAGTTTACACGTAGGTGCACAGGTAGAGAGAAATTTAAGTAATCAAGGTGACAGACATTGACACATTCAATACCACCTGCGGTACTGAATGTGTTGGATAGCCATAGCCAGCTAGCTAACATAATCAACAGTTGCAAACGAGAGTCCTGTAGTGCATGATCAGCTCCAGGGTCTTACTGATGTTGCAATGTGGGGGCGCGGCACTGCTGCCAGACCCTGAGCTCACCTGCTTGAATTGTTTGTTTATAGTTATAATCGCTCAATTTTGTTTCGTTTTGTATAACACCAACAGAGTCATTGTGCAAAATGGTACGCAGCATCATCTGGATATGTGTGCAACAAAAGTTCAACATTCACCTTCTGCTACCGTTTCTGTCAATCCGTCTACGCATACAGTTGGACGCATATGTTCGATAAATCTAACGTATGCACCACACAGAACGCACTGAAACTGCCTCTGCAACGCAATGCTGCAAGGCAAACACAGCGTTCCATTGGAAATGAATGCACTTCTGGTGTACCAAAATGCAAAGACACTACCAGTGTGATCAAGGCGTAAATCCAAGTGCATCGCAAATTTGAAAGGGGATTGTACGTGGATTGTGTGACTTTTTTTATTCTAATCGTTGTAATATGTGCAAAACTTTACAATCACAAAAGGAGGTTGTATGTATTCAGTGAGTAAATCAACCGCCATCACCTACTCCCATGAGTTTCTGCTCTCTTTCTG